TGTGCATTGTCACTTCTTTCTAGAGGTATGGTGATATTTTGTTATTGGCTAATGGCCATCTGTCATTTTCTTATTATAGGAGGTATCTTTGTTAACTCTTTCCATGTCATCTATTTTTATTTTATCTTCTATTAACAATCTATTCAGAACCCAATTTTTTAATGCCTGTTAGAGTTTATTCAACTTTGTATCTACCCCAAATATCTCTTGTACATGTGTATTTGTATTTTGTACCAAATATTTCATTCACCTCTCTTAGTCATAGATATTGTATTTATTGTCTTTTTATCCTTTGAACTTTTATCTTTGGTTCATTCTCAAGACATAACATCTATTTTCTAAGTTCTCAAAAGTCTGAAATATGTACTTCTATAATAGTTCATCATACTTTAATACTCGTTGGATGAGATCCTTCAGGTTGGTCAATATTTATTTAAACAGTAAGCTGCTTCTGTTTACAATCATTAGTAAGGTCTGTATAGTCTAGTCATTATGTTAAACTCTTTTCAGGAATAGGTGTTCAACGTAGACTTTCAAAATTAGCTCGCCTAGAAAGGATTCCAAGTGAATCTGTTATTCTTCCTACTGCTTCAAACTATATTCATTGTGGTGCTAAATGATTTCATTCAGAACCTCCTTCTTTTTGTTGCTCGAAAGAAGAGGTATCTAGTGTTGCCCCACGTATGCATTATGCTCTTAAACGACTATTTATTGGTGATGATGAAGAATGTGAGCATTTTAGAAATAATGCTCATACATAAAATAATAATGTGGCTTTCACACCGTATAGTGCTAAGTATGATCACGAATAACAAGGAATGCTAAAGGTGTCTATACACTTCAAGTTCAATGTCAAGTCAATCACTTTTTGAATCGTTTAATTTCTTCAATTGATAAGTCGTCTGGAATTCAATTGTACTTTTATAATACTGATGAGGAACTTGTAAAGAGGGCTCAAAATTCTAATAAACTCTATCCAACCATTTTGAAGCTACTCATGACATTTCTCCAGGATAATCCTTATATTAATTTTTTAAGGATTTTAGGAGTGTTTCGAGTCTTGAGAATTGCACTATAGTTCTTAAATATTATCTTCGGTTGGATTAGCACATCTTTCATCTTCGTATTGTCTCTCACGTGGCTGCCATATAGACTGAGACGGATGATAAGTCTATTGAAAAAAACCCTCATATTCAAGTATATAACCATTCAAACACAAGTTATAGAGTTCACAACCATATTATGCATGTCATGATCCGCTTCAGTATCCTCTTTTGTTTCCTAGAGGTGAATCCAGGTGGCATCGTGGAATTAAGTGAGTTTTTTCAAAGAGAAAAAGACTAGATAATTGTGATACTGATGTTGATTTTAATCTTACTTCAGTTTAAAATGCTTCTGATTTATTCAGCTTAAAAGATAAAGGCATGTTTATTGATTTTATTCATATGTTTATGCTATTGTTGCTTATCAGAGGTTCACTTATTATACGATTTTTGTGACAGCCCCACCTCCCCCTAAGGCGAACCAGAGGGTTCGGCGGGCCGCCTGCCCAGCTCTCGCCAGGACTCAGTCGTTCACTACAATCCTCAAATAAATTACAAGAATAAACCTCAAATATTACAATATAAATCTCCAATATTTACATGTCATAAGCGAAGCGGAAACAATTCTCAACTATACATAAAATGATTCCAAATCCAAATTGTACAAAATATAACAATTCCAACTAAGCCATCCAGTCACGTGAACAAGTATTACAAGTCCTTCCTTCGCCTTGAGCCCTGTGGGGGGGGAAAAAATAAAACATTTTTGGGGTGAGCTAGAAGCTCAGCGAGTAACCAGTAAAATCAAAACTCAAATATATTTCACAATAATGCATTTCAATGATGTCATGATTCCAAGATCAAATGTACGTTTATTGTTCTCGTGAGCCAGTGAAATCATTGCACTTGAACACCCAACGCTCAAATATATCATTTAACATTAACTCACGAACTCACGAAAGTGGGAGCAACATTGGTGCTCCAGATAACCATGAACATGAACCATAAACAAGGTGGAGACGTTGGTGTCCAGCACAAGACTTTCCCAGAACTCATTGAAGCCAAATCATGTCATGAATTCACATGCAAGCACGCATGATATGCAATCGAATAATTAATGCAAGAAACATTTCACAAGTACTTTGGAAATAGTTTAGGGTCACTCACCTCCACGGCTCAGAACCCATCCGTCATATACCATTATCTTGTCCGAATCCAAGCCCTAAAACCCAAAACAGATTTGATGTCCTTTTGCGGTAATGGTATCAAAAGCAGTACGATGGTCGGATGAAGGTGCAAGACCCACCGTTTCGAAGCTAAGAGACAGGGCTACAACAATGTAGAAGGTCACTCAATCCAGTTCCTGACCCAACTAGGTCAAAAATGCCAAACACTAAACCAGAATCACCAAAACAGGTTTGCAAAACACAGAAAACTGTAATCGGTATATCTCAGTCCATACAAGTCCAAATGCCGAAATTCCAAAGGCATAAGTTATTTAAGACATCCAGCTACATTTCATCAGAAGACACCAACTTCAAAATCCAAACCAATACCAGTCCAAACAGGCAATTACTATCGCAGTTCGGACATTCTGTGCACCAAAAACAGCAACAGTAAAAACGGCATAACTCACTCTACACTAGTCCAATTGCCCTGAAATTTTGCAGGCACACTAAACTCATCAATACCTACAACTTTCATGTTTTGAGAAAAGTCCAATTCGGCCTCTAGCTATGACCTAAAATTTCGGACAGAATAGGGGTTCAAGAACCCTAACTTTTCACATTTCATTCCAAATCCAAAATTGATTGCATTTAACAACAATTCACACCTACTAGAGCCAAAGCCCCTTATTACCAACCATCATACTAGTCCAAAACATCAAAATCATATGAAACCAGAAAATTCATCATAAAATGGAAAACTTCACCAAATCAAGCCAAACCAAGAAATAAATCATATAATCCAACACTCAAGCCTCTGCTAAGCATAATATAACCATAATTAGGTGTAGTAGGGTGTTCAAGCATCACTTACCAAGAAATTAAGAGAGATAGAGAGGTTGGCCACCTTAGAGCTTCAAAACAACTTCACCAAGTCACTTACTAGCACCTAATGGAGTGATTTTATGGAGCAAATCTAAGTTTAATTGGTTGGAATGGAAGATTGAGATAGTTTGAAGCTTGTAAATTGAAGAAGTTTTTCTTCCTTGTCCAAGAGAGAGAATCGGCCAACAAGAGGTAAGAAAGAATGAATTTTTAGTCAATTTTTGAGATATTTAATCCATGATAAGAAAAGTCAAAAATGTCCACCAAGTGGACCAATCACATAGTGCCACTTGGCACTTCATTTAATGCCTTCCTATCACTTGGTTCCTCTCACATCAATGCCATGTCACCCTCTACTTATCTCTTAACACCCGATAAATTTCCACCAGTATCCGAAACTTAACCTTATTGGCCGAATTTTGCCGTACTTTTCGCACTAGTGGGTCCCACGTCCAAAATATATTCTTAATTTTCTAAAAACTCACAAATACTAGAAAAATCATTTGAAAACGATATTTGCTCATAAACTTTATCTGGGGAATTTTTCTAATCAAGAAAATGTAGAAAATGCGGGCGTTTAAAAAAATAAACCCTAGAAAATTAGAAAATTTCCGGGTTCTCAAACTCATTTTTTTTCGGGGCGTCACAATTTTGTTCTGTCTATTTAGCTACTGAACAGAAAAAGGTGACGATTGTATTGTATCGGCTAGAGAGTATTATTGTTATAGGTTTCAAATCAGAAATAATGACGATTCTACGTTGCTCCATAGTTTGAGATTATTGCAATAATTTGTTGTTGGTACATATATAAAAATTGAGACATCAGACTTGATTTTCATAGAAAGCAACAAAATGAAATTCGAACAAAGACTCTTCAAGAAGTCATGGACAGTGTTGTAATAGGTCAAACGAATGGTTCTAGAGTTGGTTGGCAAATAGTTTTAGTAGCTTCATTTGTTGACGGCCCTAGAGACACGAGGCAGAGATATCTTGATGCAATGGCTTTAGTTCAGAAGTACGGAAAGTCTGACATATTTCTTAGCATGATTTTGCAATCTAATGTAGAAAGAAATTTAGGATAATCTTCAATTTCATAAGAAACCATAGAATAGGGCTGATTTATTGGTTAAAGTATTAAGAACTAAGTATGAAATATTGAAAGTCGAGCTGCTTAAGAAACAAATTTTTGGAGAACTTGCAGCTTGTGGTATGTGATTGAGTTTCAAAAGAGTGGCTTTCCACATGCTTATTTACTGTTTATACTTAAACTAGAGTCCAAGTTATTAAACCTAAAGTCATGAGAAATGGTGCATGCAAGAGTCATTATTCTAAGAATTTTACACCTTATACAGTTCATGGTAAGGACAATCCATGTTACAAAAGAAGAAATGATGACAGAAAAATAAAGGTTCACAAGCATGAATTAACAACAGATGGGTGATACCTTATAATCCATACTTGTTAGCTTTGTTTGATTGTCACATGAATGTGAAAATCTGCTCTAATGCGAAAATTGTTAAGTACCTTTATAAATATATTTGTTAAAGGTCATGTCTTATCAGCTTTGATGTTATTGTTCAAGAATGTGCTCATAACAATGATGAAATTAATAATTTTCAACAAGGTGTTGGGTTTCATCTCTAGAAACTTTCTAGCTCATATATGAATTTTCATTAGCAAAAATGAATCCATCAGTTTCTACCCTACAGGTTTATCTTCCTGACCAGCAATTTGTTTCTTTTGATAAAAGTTCAGATTTATTGTACCTTTTGAGGAAAATAAATTTTTTAAAGACTAGGTTGATTGAGTTATTAAAAATGAACAAAACAAATGCTAAAGCTCAAAATTTGAAGTGCTTATATAAAGATTTTCCTAAATATTTTGTATGGACACCAAAGACAAAGATATGGGTAGAGAGAAGCCGAAGAAAGGTCACAGGCTGGTAACTTTTGAGCCTAGAGAAGGAGAAAGATATTACTTGAGACGTTTACTTACACATGTTCGAGGGCCAATGTCAGTTGAGGAGTTGCTCATGGTTAGAGGTCACAAAATGAGTTCTTTTAGGGAGGCTTGTTTATAGTTAGGATTGTTGGAATCTGATTCCTATATAGAAGAAACTTTACAGGAAGCTGTTTATTTCCAAATGTCTTGTTCATTAAGAGCTTTATTTGACATGCTCCTGTTCTATCGTTGGAAAACATTTAAGGAGGAGCTGTCTTCTGATTATAAATGAGGCCGAACACATGCTTATTGTACATCAACAGAGATTAAAAGAAGGGTTCTTCAAGACATTAACAGGACATTGGAACAGATGGAAAAAGGCCTGGATGATTATCATTTTGTTGAAAAATCTTTTACATGCTCTTACAATGAGCGACTGACTAAAGAAATTGACAGTGAAAGAAATATATAGGTTGATCCAGAAGACGTGCCTCTTCCTTTAAAATTGAATGTTGAATAGAAATATGCATTTGATTTTATTCTAGATTCAATCTACAGCTCAAAAAGTCAGACTTTCTTTATTGATGGCCCAGGTGGAACTAGTAAGACTTTTTTATATCGAGCACTTCTTGTAGTTTTGCACTCACAAAGATATGTGACAACTGCAGTTGCCACGTCTAGTGTCGCAACATCTGTCCTTTTTGATGGTAGGACTGTGCACTCTAGGTTCAAGATTCCCTTGGATTTTCAACACAAAAAACTTGTCAATTTGATTAAACAAATTGGTGTTGCCAAGCTAATCTTTGAAGCTAAATTAATCTTGTGGGATGAGGCTTCAATGGCAAAAAGAGAAACAATTGAGGCATTTAATACTCTTCTTAAAGATATAATGGAATCTGACAAATTCTACCGGTTATTAGTTCTTGGCGGTGATTTCTGACAAATTCTACCGGTTATTGAACGGGTAACTAAGGAAGATTTGATTAGATCAAGTCTTGTAAATTCACCTCCATAGTCTCATATGTATAAACTCCAATTGATGACAAATATGAGAGTTGTCTTAAATCAAGCTTTTTCAGATTTCTTGCTTAGAGTAGGAGAAGGAATTGAACTTGTTGATGAACAAGGTTAAATATCTCTTCTACATGATTTGGTCATTCCTTATTATAACAAAGAAAAGCCGTTTAACAAGTTAAAATTATATATTGTGTTGTAAATAGTTCATTTCCTATGCATTATTTTATTATTAGACTTAATTATTTTTAAATTGTACCAGCTTGCTAGGAACCGTCTTCCCTGTGTTTTTAGACTCGGATCGGACCGGCCGGTCGGACTGGTTAGACCGGGAACCGGCCAGGCATCCGGTCCGAGTTAGTTAAAAAACTCGGATGTTATAAAATCGGTCAAACCCGGACCGGGTTTGATCGGTGAACCGAAAAATCTGATTAACCCCGGTTTTTTTATTTTTTTTTATTTTTTGGCCTTTTTTTCAGTCAAAATTTGACAATTTGACAATTGTCTGACCAACTAAAAATGCTAAAATTTGACTGAAAAAATCGGACAAAATTGACAAAACTTGCATCGGCTACTTGGCTTCTCTTTTCATACTTTTTCTTCCTTTCTTGAGTTTCTTCTTCAGCGCCGATCTCCACCGCCATCTCTTGAGATTCATCGATTGTCCTTCAATCTCTAGCCTCCACCGCCACAACACCACCAGTTCCTTCAGATTTCAAGACAATCAAGTAGTTAGCACGCGAGTGAACTGAAGCTAAATCTGAAGGCTATTATTGCTGATTCGTTATGCTAAAGTTGATCTGTGACTGGAATTTTTTGATTCATTATGCTGGGCATTTGGGATTTGGATATTACGGGTGTGTATGAGAAGTTGGGGTGTTTAATTAGATTTGGCATTTGGGATTCATTATGCATCAGATTTGTAATTAAGAGCAGAAATGTGTTTAATTCTGTTTAGTCTCTGGAATCTTGGTCATAAACTTTCACGTTCTGTTAAGGATAATCAGTAACTGAATAGATTACCCCTTGCCTACTTAGCTGGAACATAGATTGCTGCTGCTACTGGAAATATTAGTTGTAGCCGAGAGAAAGAATTAGAAATCATTTCAAGTTCCAGCATGTTTGCTAGATTTGAATACCTAATGAAATGGTTAATGGAGGAAATTCTGATGAAAAGCTGATTCTTGCTTAGGGACATTAAGGTTGTAAGCTCAGCGAAACGTAACATTAGGAAATTTCAGAATTCTAGCTAAAACTAGTAAAGAAAAGCTGAGATCCAAATTGTTACATTGTTGGAGGAACTAACGTTTGATGGAATGAATTGCTGGAAATAGATGTTCCTTGCCTTAATTTATGCCAGACCGAAACTATAGATCATGCTGATTATTTTTTTGTACAGATCATGATAGCTATGTTAATTTCAACTTTGCAATGTATTTTCATGTGTAATAATTGCTATAGATTTTCATTTATAGGAGGTTTTTTAAATTATTGAATATTTTCAATATTCTTTCCAATGTAGGACAATGGAAGATATCGATTCACAATCCACACCAACAAATGAAAGATCAGCGTCAAAGTCAAGTTCTGAAAATCATAGGCAATAAACTGATGTGACTTGGAGACATGTTATAGAAGGACAAGATTCACAAGGTAGAAAAATTTTGATATGTCAATGGTGCAATAGTACTTTTAGAGGGGATGTTATTAATCGAATGAAACATCATCTTGCAAAAGTCAAGGGTAATGTTGCTCCATGCAAAAATGTGCCAAATGATATTCAGCAGATAATGGAAGATTCATTGAATGAAAATGTTTAAAAAGCAAAAGAGAAAAAAGGGATATTTGAAATTGGAAATCCTTTTGGCCGAAGTGTAGCGGGATTTGAAGGTGGTGATGTTCAAGAAATTTCTCATCCAAAAAAAAGGCAACTCAAACTAATGTGAGTGGGAATAAGGGAAAAAGAAAGGCATATGGCATTGAATCTTACATGACAGGTAAATCTCTTGATCGTTCTCAACCGAATATCAAGTCTTGTATGCAAAGTAAAGAGAGATGGCATGATACTGACATGGCTATAGCTTTGTGGTTTTATGATTCATGTATTCCAATGAATGCTTGTAATTCTCCCTATTACCAACAAGCAATTGAAATAATAGCAAGTATGGGTTATGGTTATCAAGGACCTAGCTATCATACTTTAAGGGTTAATTTGTTGAAAGATGCAAAGAAGCAAGTTGAATTAATTGTTGACAATTTACGTAGTAAATGGGCTGAAACTGGTCGTACAATTATGGGTGATGGCTGGAAGGATAATAGGCAAAGAATTTTGATCAATTTTTTGGTCTATTGTCCTAGTGGGATCTCATTCATCAAATCTGTTGATGCTTCAAATTTTGAGTCTAATGCTGAATATTTGTGTAATCTGTTTTCAGAAATTGTTGAGATTGTTGGATCTAGTAATGTTGTTCACATGGTCACAGATAATACAAGTAATTATAAAGCTGTTGGTCGATTACTTTCTGAAAAATATCCTACAATTAGTTGGTCTCCTTGTGCAGCACATTGTTTGAATTTAATTATGAAAGATGTTGGAGAAATGACTCATGTGAAAGATGTAATTACTCTTGCTTCAAGAGTCACTGTGTATGTACATAATAAAAAATGAATTCTTAGTTGGTTAAGAAAAAGGCTTGGTGGGAGAGAGATTCTTCGTCCTGCGAAAACACGATTTGGTACTAATTTTATTGTTTTGAAGAATCTTCATGATTTGAAACAGCATTTGGAGGCTTTAGTGACTTCTAGTGCATATAAGAGAGAGTTGAAAAATGAAAAAGGTAAAGAAGTCAAACAAATTGTTGTTGATGGGAAGTTTTGGAATAATTGTTTGATTATTGTGAGAATTATGGGTCCAATTATGCGCTTGTTGCGCATCTGTGATTCTGATGAAAAACCATCATTGGGTTATGTATATGAAGGCATATGGAGAGTTGTTAATGGCATTAAAGAACTGTTTAAGAACAAGAAAAAGTTCTACGGCCCATACATTGATATAATTGATAGGAGGTGAGATAATATGTTGAAAAAAGATCTACATGCGGCTGCCTTTTGATTGAATCCGGCCTTCCAATATGATAAGGATAGCCCTTGTCACATGCCTGAAATTATGAAAAGTGTTTTAGAAGTCATGCAAAAGTTAAAAATGGATGGACTTCAATATATGATGAATGAAATATCAATGTTTAGATCAACGGATCAAAGTTTTGGATTTGAATTTGCTCAAAATACTCACAAAACTGCCCGTCCAGGTATGCCTACTTTAATTTCGCATTGATTATGTTAAGAATTACTTTTGTTGGTTTTCTTTATAAAAGAGTACTAATTATGTCTTACTAATATAGATGAGTGGTGGAAATTATTTGGTAATGATGCTCCACATTTACAAAAGTTGACAATTAAACTCTTGAACCAAACATCTTCTTCTTCGGGATGTGAACGCAATTGGAGTGTATTTGAACGCATCCATACCAAAAAGAGAAATAGACTTGAGCATCAAAGGTTGAATGATCTTGTTTATATTCATTATAATTTACGTTTGAAGAATAGGTATGGAATTACTATTATACATGCTTACCTTCTTTTGTAAATTTATTAATTTTTTAAAATTACTTACTTCTTTTATTTTTTTTGCTCTTTTTTTTCGTTGTAGGTTTTCATATAAAAAGAGGTCTTATGATCCGGTGGATTATGAAACTATTGATAAAGTTGAATTTTGGGTAGTTGATGAGGAACAAGAAGGAAAGCTTGATTATGATGAGTTAGAAGAAATGATTGAAGAAGAATTTCCCAAAAATAGCGAAAATGAAGCCTCTCAATCACGTAAGTTTATATTTGCTAACTTTATCTAAGTTTCATTTTAATTTTTGTGGTATCAGAGCTTGGTCTCCTAGAGATTAAGCTCAAACAGTTTGGAGTAAAGATGACAACCAATCATGCTATGTTTGTTGAGGGGCAATCTGTCACTAGGTCTCCCATGTTTACTGGTTCCAATTATGTTAGTTGGAAAGAAAGAATGATTATCTTTTTGCATCTATTGATATTGAGCTATGGTTTATTGTGAATGAAGGACCGTATGATGCTAACGTTCTTGATGCAGATACAAGTTTGTTTCGACCAAAAACAAGAGCTGAATTGAATGCTCAAGATAGAACCAATCTCACATTGAATGCCAAAACCATGAATGTTCTTTATAGTGCTTTAGACTCAAATTAATCAATTAGAGTAAAAGGATGTAAATCTGCCAAAGAAATGTGGGATAAGCTAAGAGAAATTCATGAGGGTAGTGACAACGTGAGAGAACAGAAAAAGTCTATCTTGGTCACAAAGTATGAATAATTTAAAATAGAATCTCTTGAGGATATTGACAAAATGTATTGCAGGTTCAATGACTTGATCAAAGATCTCGAGGTGTTGGGCAAAGAGTACACCTTGGGAGAGAAAAACAGGAAAATTCTCAATGCGTTGGGCAAAGAATGGGAAAGTAAAGTGACTGCAATAGAGGAGGTTAAGGATTTGAATTCTGTGCCTATTGAATCTCTCATTAACTCACTAACCTCCTATGAGTTAAAGTTGAAAACTAAAGTGCAGGAGGAAGAGGACGCGAGAGCAAAGAGAAACATAGCTCTAAAGGCAGCTCAAGGTGAAAATGATCCAACTCTGTTGGATGATGAAGATTCGGATGGTGATGACAATGATCTTGCTCTAATCACAAAAAGTTTCAGGAGAATCTTGAATAAAAGGAAGTTTAGAAGGGGAGGACCTAGCAATCAATTCCAGAATCAGTCTCCAATTGCAAGGAACAAAGGAAAACAAGAATTCAACAAGAAATAATTGGACAAATGCTACGAATGTGGACAGCCTAGACACTACGCAAACGAATGCTCCCTGAAGAAAAAGAAAGATGGAAAAGCTGATCGAAAGCCAAGGTTCAACAACTTCCAAATTACATGGAATGAATGTAACTCCGATGGCGAAGTTGAAGAAGAAGAAGAATCAGCTCAAATGACCTTCATGGCTATTGGAGATAATGAGGTAACTTCCATACACTCTCAATCTGAAAGTGATGATGATCTTGAATCCTTTGTTGAAAAATTGCATAATGCCTTGAAGGAATCTTATGATAAAAACAAACAGTTAAAACAGAAAATTGTCTTTCTCATTCAAAATAATGCAAGTCTTTTTCAACAAAATAAACAACTAAAGGCTGACAATGAGTGCCTTGTAAGAGCCGGATTTGATGTTCAAAATGAACTTGATAGCAAGACAAGTGTTTGTGAAATGCTGAAGAAAAGACATTATGATCTGAATAAAAGGATGGACAATTTGGATGAGACTTTAAAAGTTAGAAAACAAGATTATCTCAAAAAGAACATGTCAACCACCTTTCTTACTGCTCATGAAAGAATATTAGCACATAACAGAAATGCACATGGTTTTACAACATATAGAAGGAGTAGATTGAGATTTATCAAATCATTACATGTTAAAGACTCTTCCATTATGTGTAGTTTTTGTTGTCAAAGAGGGCATTTGAAAGGAGATTGTTATGTGAAAAGAAATCTGAATAGAGGAATGAGATGCATGTGGTTAGTTAGACATAATTCTAACTATTGTGGACCTAAAAGTTAAAGGGTACCAAACACTCTCTCTTTTCAGGGAAAAGACTCAAACAAGTCCAAATGGTTCATTGACAGTGGCTGTTCAAGGCATATGACCGGTGATCCTTCTTTGTTCATAAAGCTAAAATAAAAATCAAGTGAAAAGGTGACATTTGGTGATGACGTGAAAGTTAAGACAATTGGAATATGTGATGTTGGTAAGGATGATGAAACTTTTGTTCATAATGTGCTCTTAGTTGATAACTTAGGTTATAACTTGCTTAGTGTTAGTCAATTATGTGATAAAGATTTGAATGTGTTGTTCAAAAAGCATGAATGCATTGTTCTTGACTCTAAATATAATGTTGTGTTCAAAGGTAAGAGGTTTAACGATATTTATATTGTTGTTCTTGATAAACTTGATTCATCTAGCTTCCAATGTCTTAAAGCCTCAAATGAAGATCCTTGGTTGTGGCATAGGAGACTTTGTCATTTTAACATGGAATTACTAAAGGAAATCTCGAAAAAGGAGCTGGTTAGGGGCTTGCCAAAAATCAGTTTTGAAAAGGATAAAATTTGTGATGCATGTCAATTTGGAAAACAAACAAAGATTTCCTTTAAACCAAAGAGGTGTGTATCTACTTCTAATCCTTTGGAACTCTTGCATCTTGATTTATTTGGTCCTACTCAAATTACTAACTTGGGAGGTAAGAGATATTATTTTGTGATTGTTGATGATTATTCTAGATATACTTGGGTGATATTCCTTGCTCATAAAGATGATGCTTTCAAGAATTTCACTTCATTATTTGCTAAAGTGTAAAATCTGTTTGGTTTAAAAATTGTTAGGATTAGAAGTGATAATGGGACGAAATTCAAGTTTTGTGATTTTCCAGAATTTTGTGATCATAATGGCATAACACATGAGTTTTCTATTGCAAGGACTCCACAGCAAAATGGTGTTGTAGAAAGGAAAAATAGGACACTCCAAGAGACTGCTAGAACTATGTTGAGTGAATGTAATTTGCCAAAATATCTTTGGGCTGAAGCGGTAAACGCCGCATGTTATGTGATGAATAGAATCCTATTGAGACCTATTTTGAATAAAACATCTTATGAACTGATTTTTGATAAGAAACCTACGGTTGGATACTTCAAAGTTTTGGTTGTAAATGTTTTATCTTGAATTTAAAGGAACATCTTGGTAAGTTTGACAAAAAATCTGATGAAAGAATATTTTTGAGGTATTGGGAGAACAAAAGAGGATATAGAATCTTTAATAGAAGAACTCTTGTGATAGAAGAAACTATACACATAACATTTGATGAAACTAATGATGATAATTTCAAAAGTTCGAGTGAGGATGATGATGTAGGTGTTCGTGAAGGAATGAAAAAGCTAACAATTGGAGATGAAGGAACCTCTAAACCGGAAGCAAAGGAAATGGAGGATGAAGCTCATGAAGATCAAGAAAAGGAAGATGAAGACAAGAATGATGATTCATTCAAAGACCTTCCCAAAGTTTGGAAATTTAGCCAAAATCATCCAAGAGAGTTTATAATTGGTGATCCATCCGAGAAGGTAAAGACTCGGTCCTCATCTAAGAAATTGATAGACAATTTTACTTTAGTCTCTCTTTTTGAACCTAAAAATATCAATGATGTCTTAAAGGATGAAAACTGGATTTTGGCAATGCAAGAGGAACTTAATCAATTTGAAAGAAATAAGGTGTGGACATTTGTTGATAGACCTCAAAATCAACCTATCATTGGCACGAAGTGGATATTTAGAAATAAGTTGGATGATAAAGGTGTAGTTGTAAGAAATAAAACTAGATTAGTTGCTAAAGGATATGCACAAGAAGAAGAAATTGATTTTGATGAAACATTTGCTCCCGTAACTAGATTAGAATCGATTAGAATGCTTCTTGCTTTTGCTTGCTTCAAAGGTTTCAAATTATTTCAAATGGATGTTAAAAGTGTCTTCTTAAATGGTTTCATTGATCAAGAAGTATATATGGATCAACCCCCCGATTTTGAAAATACAAAATTTCCAAGTCATGTGTTTAAGCTCTCAAAAGCATTATATGGACTAAAACAAGCTCCAAGAGCTTGGTATGAAATATTGAGTGGTTTCTTGATTGAAAATGGTTTCAAAAGAGGTACTGTGGACACCACATTTTTTACTAAGTAAGTGTTAAATGATCTTCTTATTGTGCAAATATATGTAGATGATATTATTTTTGGTGTTACTAATGAGTATCTATGCAAGGATTTTTCCACCATTATGCAAAGTGAATTTGAAATGAGTATGATGGGAGAATTAAATTTCTTCCTTGGACTTCAAATACATCAAGCTCTAGAGGAAATTTTTATAAATTAAGCAAAATACACCAAGGAATTGCTGAAAAGATTTGGCATGGAGGACTCAAAGCAAGTTAGAACTCCAATGTACACTTCTACAAAACTTGACAAAGATGAAGAAGGTAAACATGTGGATGAAAAGCACTATAGAGGTATGATTGGAAGCCTACTCTATTTAACCGCAAGTAGACCCGATATTATGTTTGTTGTTTGCTTGTGTGCTAGATTTCAATCTTGTCCAAAAGAATCACATTTGAACGCTGTTAAAAGGATTTTTAGGTATTTGAAAGGTACATTAGATTATGGTCTTTGGTATGCTAGATCTTGTGAATTTGCTCTATCTGGATATTCGGATGCGGATTTTGGTGGTTGTCGTGTGGACAGAAAAAGTACTAGTGGAACTTGTCATTTTCTTGGTAATTGCTTAGTTTCTTGGTTTAGCAAAAAATAAAATGCAATCTCTTTGTCTACAATCGAAGTGGAATATATTGCCGCTAGTGCATGTTGTGCTCAACTTTTATGGATAAAGCATACCTTGAATGATTTTGGATTGTTATATGACTGCATGCCTATATTCTGTGATAATACTAGTGCAATCAATTTGACCAAAAATCCAATTCAACATTCTAGGACAAAACATATAGATATAAAGCACCACTTTATTCGCGATCTTGTTCAAAAAGGTGAAGTTTGTGTGAATTATGTTTGTTCCAAAGATCAAATTGTTGATATTTTTACAAAAGCTTTGTCATTGGATCAATTCATTCATCTAAGATCAAAATTAGGGATAATCGAAAAATCATCTTAAATTTTTTTTCAAAGCTTTCGGACGTCCGATAGAAGATGAACGGACGTCCGATAATGTTCTTCAGCTGTTTTCCCAGAAAGCACCTGTTCGGACGAAACTGTCGGACGCAAGACTTCGTTTGGCCGTCCGACAGTGCAATGGTACACTTTTTAAAGTAACTTCCCTCCTCATTTGCTTCAAACTCTTCTTCTTCTCTTCTCACTCGGACGAAAACTGTCTTCCCTTTCACTCTCAAATTCCTGCTATTCTGAAACACTTATTCCAAAATTGATTCAACCAAAAACCTTTCCGGATCATTGCGAGTTCATTTTCCTGATTCTTTCACCAAATCTCATCACATTTCGACAGTTCCCAAATTTTCCTCAAAACCCTATTTTCTCCTAGCCATTCTCTTCAATCATCTTCAAGGCTCGTTTATCCCAAAATTCTTGTGTGATTCACTCCCATACTACTGTGTGCATCATTAGCATCATACATCTCACGCATTTCACACAATGGTGAAACTAAGAGGAGGAAAGGTGACTGCCGGACGCAAACACACACTCAGGGATGAAGATGCTGATTCTCCTAGGGCCAAAAGATCATCCAAACGTGTCAAAAAGGGGGCAGTAAAGGCTCAAATTTCACAGCCTTCCGCTCAGCCAGAATCCGGACAAGGAACTTCTTCTCAACCGCCCTCCAAATCAACCACTGTCTCCCCATTCTTTGATGATGCTGCCAAAGAAAAACACTCCTGGATATCCTAAAAAGGTTTCATTCCTCAACGTACCATAAATCCCTCTGAGTTTCGCAAAATAGGTTTAGAGTCCATTCTGCGTCTCTTTGAATTTCAGAAATGGTCACATATCATTTCCATGCCTAACGTTTAGTACCCTGAAATGCTATATCAATTCTTTGCCAATCTTAGGAAAGGCACTGATCACACTGAAATTATGTCCAGGGTAAATGGGGTAGATTTAGTGTTTGATCCTGAGATTGTGAATGCTGTTTTAAATACTGTTATTGAACCAGGATGCAAAAGTAAAATTGCCAATTTCTTTTCTTATGAAGAGCATCCCACTGCTGATAATCACTTTGATAGTGCTAAGATGTTGTCTTATTTTCAAAAGAAGTTTTCTGCCCCTGCTGATGCAAAACTGAATGACCTTGCTCCTATGAATCTCATTGCTTTCTCAATCATTTCAAATTTGCTTGTGCCTACTGATGGTCATAGGACAGATGCCAATAAAATGGAGCTGTATCTGTTTTATTGTTTTCGAGAAAAAATTCGCATTGACTTTAGCTTTGTCATGTGCAAGTTTTTACTTCGCTTTACCTCTGATTCTTGTAGAAAACTGTCTTATGGAAAATTTCTTCAGAAAATTTTTGAGTTTTACAAAGTACCCATCCTTGGTGTTTGTCCCAAAGAAACGTTTTCTTCTGCCTTTACTAAGGCTTATTTTGAGCGCAAGAATCTTGTCTTTAGAGATAATTTGTGGGCTTATAAGGGGGCTATGTCTACTGAACCTAGATCTAAGGCTGCACATGATCCCCTTCACACTTTATCATCTGTTGCACTGACTTCTATTCATCCTAGGAAGACTGCCACTAAGGCATCTTCTTCTTCAAATTCTGAAGTGGTTGAGCTCCTTCGAGATCTTAAACAACATGTTCTACTTCTTGAACATGGTTTCATGCTCACCATGTCATCTGAGCAACAAGCAGACTTTTTGGATAAAAAGAATCTTCTCTTTCCCCCACCTGTGGTTGAGGAAGTTCCTCATGGCAAAGAGCCACGCTCTAATGATCCAAGTTCATCAGCTCCTACTCGCTCTATGAGTCCTACTCCCATCGACCTCACCTCTACTCCCGTGGCACCTCATGATCCTTCCACATCTGACAAAGGCAAGAAACCAGTTAGTAAAGATGCTGAAGATGATGAAGACACTGAGGAGGAGGATCTCTCTCAGTATCTGCTTATTCGAAGGACGCCTGGATCCACTTAGTTTACCATTTAGGATCACAAGCCATATTAGGATCATTTGCATTCTTTTTGCCTGATTTCTATTTGCTGGATGTTAGATGGTTGCATCGAATTTTTTTGTTTTTGTTTTGTTTCTTTGATTCTGGTGCTTGTAATGTTCAAAACTGGATATGTGGATGTAATGGTTGTGATATTTTGTTAAGAATGTTTAGTTCTTTTTCATGATATTGGTTCTTGTAATGTCTCTTTACCCTTTGACTTTTGTGATGACAAAAAGGGGGAGAGATATGAAGAGATATGTTAGTAAAATTGACTGGACAGTTGGTAAAATGTTGGTTGCTGGATGATTGAATAAATTTGTGTAGTAGCCAAGTGAAGGGGAGTTTTTCAATTTTTGTTCTAGGATTGACTAAGTAAGGGGGAGCTTTTGTCAAATGAGAAAGGGGGAGCCTATTTGTAATCATGTTCTATGATTGACTAAGTAAGGGGGAGCTTTTGTCAAATGAGAAAGGGGGAGCCTATTTGTAATCATTAAATTTCATTTCAAACCATTGTTTTGTCATCATCAAAAAGGGGGAGAATGTTATTCTTGATTTTGATGATCACAAAACACTTTGAAATGTTTATCTAATTCTCTTCAAATATAAGTGTTTTGCTTTTTAGAGAATCAGGTACAAAGGTGTCAAGGAAAGAAAATCAATCAAAAGAAGAAGCAAAAACAGGGCACTCATGTCGGACGTCCGAAAGGAAACTGTCGGACGTCCGAAAGGATGAAGAACATCAAGAAGGAAACTCCTTCGGACGCTCGTGAGGAAGCATCGGACGTTCGGGAGAATCGAACGCACTCTTCGGACGCATATCGATCGCGTTGGACGTCCGAAAAATTTCGCAAAGTTTTGATGACTCTCTGGACGACGTTCGGATGCAGATGCTTTCGGACGATAAAATCCCATCGGACGTCCGAACGACAACTTGGTGATTTTCGGACGATGGGATCGGACGATGATTAATCTGTCGGACGTTCGACAGCCCCAATAGCTAGCTGACTCTTCATCTGCCTTCTATCCGTTGGAAGCATTAATGAAGCCCATTTTTTGTCCCCTTCAAATACAAACGATTCTGAACGAGAAAGTGACTTTTGCACACTTTGTTTACAAGATCTAAAGCGATATTTTAGCAAGAAAATAGTCTCCCAAGCAAGATTTGTTCTCCTAATTGTGTGAAGTTCTAGTAAACTCTTCTCTTGTGTTTGTAATTTTCAATAGTGTAGCTTTGTTGAGGGTTATCTGAGTGATAGTAAAACTTCCTAACTTGACTAAGTGAGACTTGGGGCAAGGAGGAAGTGATCCCTCCATTGTACATTGGGTTGATTATTTTTCATCAAAGAGAAGGTGCTCATCTTTGTGATTGGTCTTCAAGTTTGAGGAAAGCTTGGTAGACAATCGGTTTGATACTCTATCTTATTCTTTTTGTTTATTAAAATTCTCATTGTTTATATACACTCTTATTTCTGATCAACATTGCTCTCTTCTTTAAATTTACTTGGCTGATCACTACTAGAAAAGAAGGTAAATTTTTATTAAAGAAAAAGTGCATAAACTCAATAAAGAATTTTTAATCAACCTAATTCACCCCCCTCTTAGGTTGTCTTTGGGCCTTACATTTTGTCTATTTTTGAATATTTTTATTTATGAGTATTTAAATAATTTTTAGATAAAAAAGACATCAATATTATGCAACTTGATTATGAGGATGATCTTGGTGATATCGACTTCGAAAGTTATGAAATTGGAGACAAGGATGATGAAGATGAAGATGAAGAATGGCTTAGATAGTTCTTTGGAACATGTTGTTTTATTTAGATTGATATTTATCAAGCATTTCAACATGAACTTGTTACCTTATTTGGATTGCTATTTGTTAAGGATTAAACATGTATGGGATTTCTATTTTATAAATTTTGTGAGTTTGGATGAATTTGGTGAATTGTTTGATGAATTGGATATAAATTTAGATGATTGGATTCTTTGGTTATATTTTGTAAATTTGATTTGTAGGTATATATATATATGACGTATATATGACGTCATCCGGGTTGACCCCCTATCGACCCCGGTCGAATTCATTCACCCCTGACCCCTGACCTCGACCGAGTCGAGTCCCGGTCCGAGTCTGAAAACATAGCGTCTTCCCTGATTTAAATCTATACTTATGTGATTCTTATCGAATGATAAATAGATGTGTACTTTATTCAAAAAACAGTTCAGTGGATGAAATAAATGGGATAATGATTCAAAAATTCCTTGGAAATCTTCGCAAATATATAAGTTGTGATAGAATTGTTGATAGACGACATCAAACAGATTATGAGAACTTTCTAAATTCTCTAAACCCGTAAGGTCTACCTCCACATGAACTTTTACTAAAAGAAAATTTTAGTAAAATGCTTCTAAGAAATTTGAATCCAACAAAGGGTCTTTTTATTGGCACAAGGTTAATTTGTAGAGAATTGGGTTAGCACACTATTTCTGCTAAAATTGTCTCCGGTTCACATAAAGGGTCTTTATCCCAAGGATCCCTTTGTAGACCTCTGATAGTGAAAAGAATGGCATTCCATTTATAAGGACACAATTTCTTGTCCATCTATACTTTGCGATGACAATCAATAAATTTCAAGATCAAACTCTTGACTATATTGGAATTTACCTCCGTGAACCTGTTTTTTCTCATGGATGACTCTATGTTGCTCTTTCTAGATCTAGAAGCTCTAATATAAAGTTTTAATTGTTCTGGGGACTTTTGATGGCTTGAAAGTTGACGGCAAAATAAGAAATGTTGTGTTTCATGACATATTTTGCTTGGCTAAGATATGATACATAAGGTATGATTATCCATGTCATTGAATAGCAATTGGTTTACAATGTAAACAATATAATCCTTTTAACGATTTATCGTTCTATATGTAATTTTATTTTTAATTGCAGAATGGAACATCTTATCCTAATAAAAGACGTCTTGCCTGGTTCTAAAGGTTGGACCTGCAAAATTAATGTCCAAGAAAAGTAGCGAATAACTAGATTAGCAACACCACCTACAAAAAAAAATAGAAGTTTATTTTTTTGGATTTAGAGGTCTCCTACTTTCCAATATCATACATACTGTTTATTTATTATACAATGAAATAATTCATTATAAAATGAACACATTAATGTGATCATTTTTTTTTATTATGATGAAAATATCGGCTAGCTTTATCCATAGTGTGATACATATATAACTAAAAAGTTTATAATTTTTTCCTTCCGAATAGGGATCACAGGACAAAGGAATTATAAGGACGCTTATTTGTTGCATTAAACCTTCTCCTCCAAGATTCAGGATATTCGAATCTACCACATTCAACATTATAACTTCTTACGTTCTAGATGATCTTGTTAGCAGCAATGGCATCAACTTTACCAACCTAAACATTCACAATTAAAAATAAATTCATTCAGTTTTCATAGTTAGGATAACTGTTAAATTTCAATCTATGTTTTCAAACTCGGACTGGGTATTAACTCGGTCGACCTCAGGAGTCAGGGGTCAATGGGTTCGATCGGGTTCAACCAGAATCAAATCAAATGATGTCATAAATATATATTAATAATATATAATCAAAATAATATACAAAATTTACCTTTAAATTGGTGGTTTACAACTTCATAAGTTTAGATTTAGTCCAACAAGACTTGACTGTAACATAAAAATTATAAGACCAAAATAGTGATTGACATATTGAAGTCATCCTCACAGATGCCATAGCTTCAATATGGTGTTATTAATAAAAATTATTTAAAAATTAAAATATTATGTAAAAGATCTAAAAACTAGTTAATATCAATAAAGGTGTATACATATGTATTTGATGTTTCAAAACTATTTAATAAGAAAGTGCAAAGAAATTAGAGCATTCAAATAGCAATTAATATAATTCAATGCATACTTACAATTTAAAGTTAAATTTATGGACAATATTTATAGATTATGAAACATTTCTAGGTATGTTAATAGTTTTTCAATACCCAAGGGGTTAGAACATAATATTGAAAAAGCTTTTTTAACCCCATATTAGTAGTCCCCCAGTTCGTTCCTCCTTTTTCCTCTAAACGTCGACAAAGTCTCCAACTATTCTTATGCTACCTCTTCTTATTATTCTTCTCTGGCTGCTCATGTCCACTCGTCTTTTTTTTTTTTAAAATAATCCAAAGAAGGGATGGAAAGCAGCATATGCTCTCAAGTCTCAAGTCCGTCGACGGCGAAAGCTCTTAGGCAGCCACTCCAAATGTTTTGAGAAACAAGCTTTAGATTTTGTCCACTCTTTCTACTTTTCATTTTTTTTTCAAATTTTATTTCCATTCTTATTTCTTCTTTCTTTTTATGATTTCCATTCTTATATCGTTAGTTATTTGTTCTCAAAACTAACAAATAATCTAACTTTTTTCTTTTTTCTTCAAACTTCTCTTTTCTTCATCTCTTTTTCTCTCTTTTCTTTTTTTTGGTCTTTTTCCTAGATCTAAGATTAAATCTTGTTTAGAAAAAGATATCAAGCATTGATTGTGACGGCTGAATTGATGGAGCCAAAGAGGTGAAAATGGGTTTGTACTTTGCAAAGGTGTGAGAGATTGTGACGACCCCGCCTCCCCCTAAGGCGAACCAAAGGGTTCGGCAGACCGCCTGTCCAACTCTCGTCGGGACTCACTACAATCCTCCAATAAAAAAAAGACCAATTCCAATGATTACATCTAAAATGCCAAAATAATAATACGACTATAATATTTCATTTCACAAGTACACCCAAGGGTACAATTCTCAAGTCAACTACATCGAGTTCCAAATCTCACAATTCCCAAAGGTCAGTTACAAAATACCAAACTATACAAAAGACTAGCATTCACTAGTATCTTCCAATCGCTTCCTTCAAATCATTCTCTTGTTAAGGAATAACAAATAGAATGGGATGAGTTAACGCTCAGTGAGGCCAAAAAAAAAACATGCAAACACATAGTCAAGTAGTAATAGCACTTATGCGAGAAATAAAGTTATAACATAATTCACAATTTAAAATAGATATACTCAATAAGGATACGAGAGCACTCGCCGGCTCGAATTACACGGTTGGCCAATGGGTCGGGGTGCCCCCCAGAAGTGTAAGTGGTCGATGAGACATCGCTCCAATCAACTTAAAATTATTTATAGTTCTGAGTCGACATGAGAGGTACCTCTCACCCGAATCGGTGTGATACATGCTATCGCTCCGAGAACTAATTATAGCACTGAGACGGTATGAGAGGTACCTCCCACCCGAATTGGTGTGGTACATACATCCGTTCAGAATTGTTTATGGTTCGAAATCGACATGAGAGATACCTCCCACCCGAATCGGTGTGGTACATGCATCCACTCAGAACTCACAAATTAAACATATTCATGTACAATTTCCAAACATATGTATTCATGTAACAAATATCACGTAATTAAAAGAGAGAGAGGACGAGGGCGATAAAGTACACCCTTGCCTCGGCAAGTTTACGTATCATGTATAACATTTGTACCATTAACATTTCAATCACATAAGCATTTAACATGCACTTGACACTCACCACAAGTCAAGGGTAAGTTAAGAGTAAAGCGAGTTGTCAGACGAGCTCTTCGGCATCTTCGTGACTACCTGAGACATGTACAATCATAATTACCTAGGTATTTGACCAAGGTTACAAAGAAAGACATTTTCTCGCTACTCACTCTCCAAGTTACAAGTTCGAGCTAAATTAAAGAAGCTTTTCTAACTAAATCGTTAAAATAATGCTCAAGAGAGCTCGAAGGTGGTTTTTGATTCAAGTCGTGATAAGAAATCTCAAATCCAAAAGATAGCACCGTTTTCACTTTCGACACGAAAATCGAGAAAAAGAAGTAAATGGTTCTCGTTTCCCAAAACTTTAAATCTCATGTCGAAACTTTAGAAGGTAAAGAGTATTCACATTTTTCCAAGCTAATGAAGTCAAACATATCCAAAACTCCACTCATTTCATAGAAAAAATATCAAAACTAAGGTTCCAAGATTCAAGTATAAAATAAGGTGTCATTAACCAAGAAAATGGAACAATCAAGAAAACGCATTAGGAAAGGTTTAACTTTCGAAAATCAAGATTTGAAATGAAGGTTTAAAGTTCTAATGGAACCGTGTATTCCACCATGAAATTACGCCTAAAACCGTCCAACAATTGTGTAAGGCCCGAAGACAACCAATGAGACAGTTGATAAGAAAGCACAAGTGCTTGTGAGTAGAAGAGATAAACAAATTAAAGATCATAAACATAACAATAAGTAAATAAAAAGGAAAGAGTTGCAAACCAATTAACTACCCAACTCCTCTTGAGCTTGTAGATTAATTGAGACAAGCTACTTCAAGTTGATGAATTATAATCACTCTTGTGTACAAAGGAAGGTTCACCTCCTCCTTGCCCCGAACTCCACTCGGTCAAGCCAGGACGTTTTACTATCCCTCAGGACAACCCTCACAGAGCTACACTCATGAAAGATTCACTCACAAATGAAAAGCTTACAATGAACCTCACACCACTAAGACTACAAATCTAGCTTTGGAGACTATTTTCTAACTAAAATATCTCTTGAGATCTTGTAAACAAAGTGTGCAAAAGTTCTTGTCTGATTCAGAATCGTTTGTATTTAAAGGGAACCAAAAATGGGCTTCATTAATACTTCCAACGGATAGAAGGCAGATGAAGAGTCAGCTAGCCGTTGGGGCTGTCGGACGTCCGACGGCTTAGTCATCGTCCGATCCCATCGTCCGAAAATCAGTCAAGTTGTTGTTCGGACGTCCGATGGGATTTTATCGTCCGAGCTTCTGTGTCCGAACGTCGTCCAGAGAGTTATCAAATCTTCGTGGAATTTTTAGGACGTCCGATGAGATTGATGTGCGTCCGAAGCATGCGTCCGATCCTTCAGGACGTCCGATGCTTTCTTACGAGCGTCCGACAGAGTTTCCTTCTTGATGTTCTTCATCCTTTCGGACGTCCGATCCTGACTATTTGAGCGTCCGACAGCTTCAGCATACTTAGTCCCCTTTCAATTGCACTTGTTCATGGAATCAAACAACTTCAAAACTGAAAGTATATCTTGAAGAAATATTAGTATCATTTATTTGTTTTGTAAACATCAAAAGATAGGGATCAAGATCAACAAATTGCAAATGAGGGAGTTCTTAAAAGTTCATTTTCTAAGAAATCAAGAATTTCAGCTTTGCGCGACAAATTTGGTAAAATCAGATCTTGAAGACACTTTAAGATCAAAGTTCCTAGAAGACACTTTTACATGGTTCCAAACAGTAAGCATTCATTTTTTAGCTCAAAGTTGCTGATTTAAACAAGCAAGACAGAACCAGTCTTGTTTTTCGGCGATATTTGAAAATTCGGCAAAATTCATAGAAAATGAATCAGCCTTTGAAATTCATAACACAATAAAAGTTCCAAACAAGGTTTCAAACATAACAAACGGAACTAAATTCGGAGTTTTGAGCAACAAGATACAACAGTTCAAAGTCGGTTGATTTTCACGACGTGAACAGTGAATTTCCAGATTTGAAGAGCCATCTTTGGGGCGTTATTTGGGTATTGAAATGGTATTGAAATTCCACCCAAATTGGTACACTTAAACTTCCATAAGTGGACTACCCCTATATTAAATTTCACGCAAAAACTCACGTGGGAAGGCAGTTAACAAGACTACCAAAGTTTGAAAAATGTTTCAAGGCAATTCTGCCCTCTTACTTTTCTTTCTTTTCCAAACGTTTTGCACAATGAAATCAGTCCCAATTCGATCCATTTTTGAAACCAGGGTTCCAATTGACATCAAAATTTTTGAAATAAAACATCCCAAAACAAACCTAACCAATCGGCTAGCAAGAAGGGAAAAACTGTCCAGTTTCCCAGCTTTGTTGCACTTTTGAAATCAGATCACATCTCACTCAATACAAGTTCAAATTGGGAATAGTTACTGGCGTTGGAACTAGGTTCAAAATTCTACATTTCATCAGAAGAAAAAATTTTCAAAATCAGTCCACAAGTAAGAGAAAATAGGGCCACAAGATGCAGCTTCTCCATTCCTCTCGGACAGACAATTAGAACAGGATAGTCAAATTTGCTGAATCACTACGGTTCACTCAGTTCGAACTAGCAAATGATTTTTATGCCGTTAGAAAGCTATGGATGTCTAGTTTTTATTGCCACTAACGGCACTCGATTTCAAATTTTGTACAGCAAGTTATGTTCGAATGAAGAGTTACTGTTCGGCTGCCTAAATTACCATTTCCAGATTTCTTTCTTTTTCAAAAACTCTAGTTTTGAGCAACCAATTGAAATGATTTTCGCAAGGCACTTTGTACACATAATATAAAACATATATCCCTCAATTTCACAGCCAAACAGCCAACAAAAATTTGAAATACAAGCAAGTTAACCACAGGACAGATTCGGCCAGCTTGCACTTCCATTCTTCGTTCGATTTTTCCTTCACTTTCTAACCGTATTCATCTCAAATAACACATAAACAACCACAATCAACTAATTACACCTCAAGGCAGCTACCTAAAGGTATCATCAAGTCTGCTAGCCTAGAGTTTAAAATAAGAAATGAAACACCTCAAGTCCGCTAGCCTATTTCATGCTTAGGGTTTCAAACCCATGCAAATCCAACCACTAAACTTCGATTAAATGGAAAGATTAGAAGAGTTGATGGGTTTACCTCTAACGCTTGTAGAAACCAGAAATTTTCACCACAAAACCTCCAAGAAACTCCACTAGATGATGTCTTCCTTCAAGCTAAAGTTGATCTCCAAGAGATTTTGAAGTTGGGTGCAAGTTTGGAAGTGAAATGGAGCAAGATGAAGCAAGATGAAGTGAAGCTTTTTCTTCCCTTCTTCCTTGAGGGGTTCGGCCGGCCAACAAGAAAGGAGAGAGAGTGTTTTTGTGTTGTGTGAAGCTTCCCTTGGAAGCTTGAAGAATTTGTGGCTAAAAGCTATGTAAAAGTCAACTACAAATAGTGCGCGAATAGTGTCTCGTACTACCACTTTTCTCTCTTGTTTGTTTCACTTGCACTAATCCTCAAATGTAATTCCTTTAACACTATAATTATTCACTCTTAGTAGTCTAGTATACGGTTCTTAAATTTTCACTTAACCGTTCCGACGCGAAATACGTGAACGTTCGATTCGCGCGCGATAAAGCGAAATTTAAAAGAAATTCATGTAACGATAATATAATTAACTAATACTAGGATAAATAATTATAAAAATAATTATTTTAAGAGTAAAAACATGAGTCCTCACAGAGATTAGTAGGGACTTAGATCAGATGCAAAGATAAAAAAAACACAACAAACAAGGAAAATAAAAAACCGGGTTCTCACTGGTTTTACTGGTTTCCAGTCAAACCCATGTTTTGACCTGAGTTTGACCGAGTTTCTACCATCTCGATTTTTAGGGTAACTCGGACCGGTCACTTGGCCGGTTTCTGATCGAACCGGTCAGATCGGCCTGTCCGATCTAAGTTTAAAAACACAAACTTCAACTTAGTTCGAATAACTGTTCAATATTTATAACCAAAATGTTCAACTCTATTCACTTTCCTTAATTTAGTATATCAATGCTTTTAACTCAGGCCATGATTACTAGTTGGGCATGTATACATTATATAATCACACCATGTATCACGTGGTGATATCCTTCTAGTTTATTTAACATATGGGTGCAATTTTGGAGGTTTAATTGCACCTTCCACAAGTTGGCAATACATCAGAAACATCCATAATTATCAACCACAAGCTAAAATACTTGACAGAATGCATATATGTTTAGTCATTCTCAGTAGCAAGCGACCTCAATGGGCTGAAAGCACATCAGCTGCTTAGCTAGCTCTTCATTAACTTCTTCTTTTACTTGTGCTCTATATTCCTTGCCATCATTAGCTGTAAAAGTAAGCCCATAGTAAATGACACCTGAAGGGGATTTCGAGGTGGTTTTTATAGACTCAATCATCAGATTGTTGCCTGTCCTTTTTTTGTAGTCTTCCTCTACAAACTTTTTGATCTCTTCAATCTTGGAAGGATCCATAGCAATCCAATTATCCTCGCGCTCACATTTGTTCGGCAACGTGTTAACCTCTCCACCTGGCTTCAGTGTAGCATCGACTCCAGCGCACTGACATTCTTTCACTGATTTCAATTAAGAAACAACAACATTTTAGTCCCAAGAAAATAAAAAGCTGCGTATTCTTTTATGCATGAACATGAAAAATCAAAAAGAAAACTATATGCATATTCTTTTATACATAAACCTATAAATGCATGCATGTAAAACTCAAAGAGTGAAAAATACTGTAGTTAGTTGCACCTTCAGTCATCTTGTAGTAATTGGTTCAGAAAGTGTTGGGAATAGGTTATTGTGGTTAGTTATTAGAGGAACAAAACAAAACAGGCTCCTACAATTTATATGCGACATATTGGGCCTAAATCCCCTTTATGCCCTTTGTGAAAAATTGAGAATCAAAGTTACAAAAATTGAATTAGAGTACTACTTGAGGAAATTTGACATATGTGACTGAGCTGAGTTTCAATTCCTATCGTTTCAAGAAAAAAAAAAAGACTGAGCTGAGTTCAAGAAGTGAAAGAATAAACTTGCTGTTCATTTATGGTACCTAAAAGTATTTAGAGTCCCGAAATGTATGAATATAGTTCAATGACCATTTTTTTTGTTTCTTCCAATTGATTAATATTTATGGATTAGCCATTAATGTGTCCTGTTTTAAAGTTTAAAGATCAAAGTAAAAGTTTGAGTATAATTGGAAAGGTAAAGTGGAATTAATAGACTAAATTAATTAACCATTGGCCAGCTAACAATTAATTTGTGGTAAACTTTTGATGAACTAAAAGCTTTATATTCAAGTTTAAATTGTAGATGAGCTGTATATGCAGTTAAATGGTACAAAATGCATGTCAATGTAGGTGTAATCCTTTTGCCCAATTACTTGGATGAAGTAATGCATAGAATGTGCTCATTTGTAATTGTCCCCATCTTAGATTCCTTGATAGCTTAGATAGAAAGCAAGACAGCTTTTGTGGACAGAATTCCACTAAAGAATCACATCATAATACCAGAAAAATCCAAGGGAATTTCTAGCTATTCGAAATGAGAGGCATACATACCAAAGCTAGGGATCTTTATCCTCTGCCCAAATATACGATTTTCCTTTTCCTACTTGGCACTTATCCAAGATAGATGCCCACTCCATTGACTTTGAAGATGGGTGGTAATCATTTCAAAATGTCTTTTATATTGATGTAAAAAAGAATTATAAAAGAGGGAACTCTCCACAGTCGGCGACAAAGGAGCGAATGGGTGCTGTATTTTTTATAAAATTTTCATTAGACGGCAACAATTTATAGTTATTCTTATACTATTGGAAAATGAGACAGACTCAATGGGACTATTGAAAAATTTAGAGTGGACTAAACCATTTCCAAATCAGACAGTGTAACTGCACCCGCTGGTAGAAATTGTTAGGAAATCCTAACTTGAAAATGCAAGCAGGAAATTTCGACCCCTCCCCTCTTCTACCGTGGCTTGATGAGACTGATTTAAATTGTATGACCTAATAGTTCGAAGGATAAGGCAACAAGAAACTAGAGAAATGGATTAGGAGTCTCTACGATTGTCAATGACAATTGTATAGTGCAATGTAAGTACTGATACAACAAAAATGGACACTATAATAATAAATGTAGACACTAAAATAATAATGTATAAAAACATAACAAAATTTTTTCCTCATCAAAAGTTATGCCCCAAATTCAATCCCAACCCTCCAATTCCAAAATATTCCATCTCAATTAATAATTGCTATTTGCAATCCATACTTGGGAACCATCGGACTGGTCTTGCAAAGAATAAGGAGAATAAATAGGCATGGTAGTAACATATAGTAATTCAAAGACAAACAAGGCCTACAGCCACAACCCATTAGTTAGCTTCCTACCTTATTTGTTTAGCTCTTCATCTTGTTATCAGTTATCCAGGAGCCTCACATGGTTAGCATATAGGTCATTTTACTAGCATATTATGCATCTCGACTGTTGGCCTTTTATGTTGATTGGCATGTGTGATCAATTTACCTCTTCAACTTGCTTTAGTATAGCATCGGCTTCAGCAGACTGGAATTACTTCACTGATTTCCATAAAGAAACAACATTTAAATCTGAAGAAAATAATTTGCTACATATAAATTTTCTAAGAAGAAATATAAATGCATACCTGTAAAACCCAAAGACTCGAAATTACCGTAATTTGTTGCAACTTCTATTAGTTGGCAAATGGATGTGACTTCAGCCATTTGCTAGTTGGTTGCCATTTCAGTCATGTTTTCTTAAAGTGTAATCAGAAATAGATTGTAAGACCAAAGCAGACTTCTAGAATTTATAGGCAATATTATGAACCTAAATACCCTTTTATGCCCCTTGCAAGAAATCAAGAATCAAAAGGTACGAAAATAAACGAAAGGGATATTGTTGCAATGTTAGCGATGAGAGTCATGTAGGAATTAAATATTGCCATATTTGCCAGAATAATGTTGATTCATCATGTAGGCCAACTATTTTGTTCTCAAATATGATGAACAACTTGATTGAGTTGGGTCATCAAATTTGCTAGGTTAATTTTTGTATCCTTGAAAGAAAATGTACTAAGATAACTTTGAATCCCTATGTTCTTTATTAGTGTTTAAGAATATATTGTAAATGCATATTATGTGCATCACTAAAACACAGAGACACGTGCAGATCTACGTACGTTTATAAGTACTCGTGTGTGTATGTAAACACAGACTATGCTGCTAAATACTGAATTATCAACTAGCCAACAAAGCTAGGGATTAATATTCCAAATTGAACTTTGATAATCAAGTTTAAATAGTATATGAGCTGTAAATTTGGTTCTACGCGCTAAGTGCATGCCATCGGTCAATTTTATGTTAGCATAGGTGTCATCCGTTTGCACAACTACTTGGATGAAGTAATGCATAAAGTATACTCATTTGTAATCATCCATTTGAGATTCCTCAGTAGCTTTGATAAAAGCTCTCATAAAAAGTAGGGTGTCAATCACAATCCAATTGTATTGAACCGCCCAAATCTGTCCATTAATAAGCGGATTTGGATATGTAATACACTTTGAATGGGTTTACTCTTTTAGGATTAATCTTTTCTACACTGACAGTGTATACACTATCAGCATTAGATGAATGACAACTATGCAAAATTTGAATTTGAAATTCAATTTTTGTACACATGTCATGAATCCAACGATGATAGTGTATACACCGTCAGTGTAGGAAAGATTTACTCTTGTTTTTAAGTATAAGTGGGAGGTTTCGAACCCGAGATCTCTCTTGCCCTACTTGATTATTCAGCTATCGATTAGAAAGCAATGTGATTTACTTTTTGGAGTTGAAAATTATTCGTTAATTTAGGAATAATATATTCAGGTTCCTTTTTGTTAGTTTTCGGACTATTAGTATTATAGTTGAAAAAGGATTCTAATCCTTCTAGTTATAGAAAAAGACGTGAGTATTCCTTTTCTTTAGATAGAGAATAAGGAACGAATATTCTCCGATTTTTAGTGGCTGAACTCTTTTCCGAGTCAGGTGATAATTGAAGTTTTGATTCAACGAAAACTATAAAATCTAATTTGATTTATTTGATTTATTTATTTATAAGTATTTATATATTTTCTGTTCGTTCTTAAGATGATTGTTTCGCATAATTAAACAACTGGCCACTATTTAATTGTTCGAATAATCTATTGCCATCTAAATTATCAAATCCATAATTGTTTGGTAGATTTAGTGTTTATGGTGAGTAATATACAATAGTAGAAACTTTCGAATATATGTCACAAGAATATATAATCTAATTTAAAACCGAACTTGTGAGTTTGTTGGTTAAAACCGGTAACTTCTCTAATAATTAATACTGTCAATAAGTTAAATCCAAAAAACTCACTGAGGGTTGCGTAATTGGCAAAGAAAATAATCACAGGGATTATTGTGGTTATCGAGCTAGTAAGAAGAGATAAGTTATTAGAGTTTGTTAACAACAATAACCAGTTTATTTATAAATAATTGATTTTATCTTTGTATCAATGATCAGTTAAATGAACCAAAAGTCAAGATTAATCCTTTGACTAGAGATTTGTCTTTTATTAGTTTAGCTTTATTTAATTTTGTATTTTTGTCTTTATTTAATTTGACTAATTAGATTAATTTCCTATCAATTCCCCTTTTTTATTTGTTGTTCTCTAAGAAAATAAATTACCCAATCCCTATGAATATGACTCTACTCATCACTATATTCGGATTATATTTTTAAAGTAGAATTTTTTTTGTTGGTTTGACACCCAACAACTTGTCTAAACTCATCTGAATCACCCATTTAAACATCTCTAATAAAAAGCACTAAGCCCTTTTAACAAACAAACTTCCACTAAAGAATCATATCATAATACTACAAAAACAAGGCATTGTCCAGTTATTCGGAACTAGGAGGTGAAAACCATGCGATGCTCGGTGAGAACATCCAAAGTTGCCTAGTTATTGCCCGGTTCATAATTTGTTGAAATGGTTGTGGATCTTCAATGGTATACAATGTATATATTGTTGAAATGGTGGTGGATATGCCATGGTAAACAATGTATATGTATTCATGGTTGTGTAATTAGAAGGCATAAAGCGTGTTAGAAAGTTATTGAAATATAGCACTAAAAGAGGTTAAATAAGGTTGTTATACAACAATTTTCAAAATATAATCCGCGATAGCTAGACATGATCACAATTGGCCAATATGGACAGCATTGGTAGGGACACATCTGATAATGCATCCATGATCTTGCCACTCATATGAGCAATGGACAATTGAGCTTGAGTTAACAAGGTGCAAATGGTTGACTTCACATTCATCCCAACATCTATGCTTCTCTAATTCTTGTTGTGCATAACCGAAGTCCAACCAATAGCTTCGGTTGCAAAATACAAGATTCAGGATTCACTAAAGAGGTTAAACAACTTTTGGATGCAACTCCTCAAGATCATGCTCAGTGGACAGCTAGCGCCTCAAGAGTTTTTCGGTGAAAACAACAATGGAGAAATTGAGGGAGCAAGGGCTGAGAGTGTATTGGCATCGATTGGTATGGGAAAAAAAATTTATTCCTAGACTTGCATTTATGTTGTGGCTGATATGCAAAAGAAAGTTGAATACTCGAGATAGATTAAAGAATTGGTGTATGGCAGTGGAGTCAACTGATTGTGCACTATGCTCTACAGCTGAAGAGAGCATTTGATCATCTGTTTTTTATGTGCAAAACTTTATCCAAGATTTGGGAGAAAGCTCAGAAAATGCATGTGGCATTTAGAGGGATTGGCACGCTGGAG